CCATCCCCCGTGCTTGTCTTAACACACACACACACACACACACACACACACACACACACACACACACACACACACACACATAAAAATATATATAATAAAATATTATATATATATATATATATATATATATATATATTAATTATATATATATGAAGGAGGGGTGTAATGTTGCAGTTTTAAAAATCTGTAGTGTAAAGCACCCTTCTGGCAAGACAGTATGGAGTGAATAAATGGTGAAAGTTTTTTTTTTCGGCCACCCGCCTTGGTGGGAATCGCCAGTGTGATAATAAAATATATATATATAAAATATAAATATATATATATATATATATATATATATATATATATAATATATATATATATATATATAATAAAATATATATATATATATAATGACACCACGAACAAGTGGTTTTAAGCAAATATCTGTACATACCCAGTTTTACGGGGTACCTGATGTATGTGACATGGGCGGTTAAGTGATTTAGGGCATCTTCTAATTCATATATGTATTCATAAATTTATTTCTGTAGTTACATAAAAAGTACCGGAAATTAATTCTGTCAAGCAGTCACCATCGTCGTTATGAACTCTGCTAATTCATTAATGAAGACAGTATTTACTTCTTTGTTTACTACTTCTGATTATCCTGATAGTGGTTCTGTCCAGGAGAGGCTGTCCAGGAGAGGCTGTCCAGGAGAGGCTGTCCAGGAGAGGCTGTCCAGGAGAGGCTGTCCAGGAGAGGCTGTCCAGGAGAGGCTGTCCAGGAGAGGCTGTCCAGGAGAGGCTGTCCAGGAGAGGCTGTCCAGGAGAGGCTGTCCAGGAGAGGCTGTCCAGGAGAGGCCTGTCCAGAGAGGCTGTCCAGGGAAAGGCTGTCCAGGAGAGGCTGTCCAGGAGAGGCTGTCCAGGAGAGGCTGTCCAGGAGAGGCTGTCCAGGAGAGGCTGTCCAGGAACATTTTTCTGTAGCTAGATATACAGATCTAGATGCCTTGAGACTACATGTGTTCATGAATACGTGTACACATGTACGTAATGAATATGTATGTAAATGTGCACATGTATGTACACGTTCCCTTTAATGTACACATACGCATGTATACGTGCACGTGTTAATGAACACACTGAAGACAATTTCGTGTACCTTTATACACATTCATACACATACACACACACACACATTACATACGTAAACAAACATACATATATACATAAATAAAAAAGAACAGAATTTAGAAAGAGACCTACCCAAGGAAGACACGCTCCATTGTGGTGAGAGAAAGACCGATATGACGCAGACCGAGCTGCTCCTTCCTGCTTGTGAGGGACTCCAACAGCGGTGCAAACTTGGAAGTAGTGGGAGGGAGCTTGAAGGTGATTTCCATTCCTTGGTTTTTGTGAAGAGAGGCGGAAGGCATGAGTGTCTTCACCTCAGCCTTTACAGACTCTACATTGCAACTCTCTGTCACCATCATCTCCAGTGTGTAGCCGTCACCTGAGTTTAGGAAATAAACGGTAATAATATAGTGGTAAATACTTAGAAATAATTATGATTATCATATAAAAATATTTATAAGTTTTTTTATATATTTTAATTAAAAATACAGTATACGTTATTCATGGATACAAACATACGTCACTGAAACCAAGCAACGTGAAACAACAATTAAGATTACAACATACTTATCACTAATCCAGTACACTTCGCACCTGAACCTACCCACAACAACATATCCACATAATCCAACTCCCAGCACACCTATTCATCGTATGTTAAGCTTTATTTACAAAAACAATCCCTTATTGGCAAATGCCTCACCACATACTATTAAACCTATTAACACCCCCCCCCTGCGCAATGTACAAATACTGTAGCGTGCATATGCATACACTGCACGTAAAAGAGACCCCCTCCAGAACTCCGAACCACCCATCAAATGCCCTACAAAACGGTGGCGTACAATAGGAACTCCAGATACTACGTGGTCTATATAGCATCTGTGAAAGCTTTGTGTCTTGATTACAAAAGATGACATACCCTATTTCTTAAAAGGGTGCAATCCACCTAGAACCATAAATTCCTGATTCCCTTATACAGTACAAAATGCATGACTTACACACCTACATGAACGCGTATGGAATCCTGCCACAACAATGCATTTATCTCAAAACAAAAATGTTTACTGTGCCATACAAAGCGCACACTACAAGAAAGGAAACCCCCCCCAACTTTGCATCACATCATATTCCAAACAAGCTGATGGCTCACAATAGTAGCACCAGGTAATGTGTGCTCTCTATATCACCTATGAAAACATTATATACGATTACATAGGCTGGCAAAAACCAACCTTAAAAGTGTGCGATCCATTATGAAGCACTAAATACAGATATACCTAATAACATCACACCAAGCATTATTCATATCCTACACTCTTACATGAATGCACAGTCATTCCTAAACACACAAGTACTTTATGTTCATACCTGTATGCACACCTCGTATACATACAATGTTGTAGTGTGTCAATACACTACGTACATTTGTTACCCATGAACATCACATCATTAAGAAACAACACATGTATTATACCACCACCCACACCTCACTCACACCACAGGCAAAGCATATATGTTACTTGATCATATCCTAACCACACGGGAAACTAGCCCGCCGCTACCCCTTATTCTATACTTAAATCCCTTAAATCCTTCAACTGAAAACTCTGGCAACCCTCAGTAAAAGCTGTTTCCCATCTTCCCCCATAAAGTTCCCTATTGCGACACTTAGTTGTATATAAGGTCGCCGCTAACACCCTTATTCGTTCATCCACACCCACCTCCCTCATGGCCCAAGACGTATAATAAAATCAGTGACCAAATATGCAACCGCATTCACCACCATCTGACTCATCCCACCTATATCTACCTAACCGTACCCGCGCAGCTTCTATACAATTACAAAAATACACCTCATGAAAAATGGTCTCCAGACATTCACACGCTTTGCACTCCCCACCCTCCCTTAGTCTCCTGTTAAATAACACAACCCCAGACGGCAAGATCCCATGTAAAAATCTAAACATTACCTCCTGTACACCCGGTTTAACATGCAATTGCCGTAGACATTTCCATATATTCCCCCACGCATACATTAGGTATGCCCCCTCAACTGTCGCCACCACTGACTCACCCCCCACCCTCTCAAGAATCCTCAATTTGAGGCAAGACGGTTCCCTCACCGTCATTAAAACTCTCAACATTACCTCACCAATCATTAAATCCACCATTGCATATCTGTGCACAGTCTCTCAAGCCCCCTCCCCTCGCCCCCCTCACTCATATAACCCCATTTTAGATACACACCATTCTTTTTTCTAGAGGTATAAGCCCCAGCCCCCCTGGCCAACAGGAAGCGTCACCACCCCTCTACTTAACCATTCACAACAGGATCCCCATATAAATCTGAAAACTCCCATGTTGCAAATGTTGCACCTCTCATCGCCTCAATGGGTATATTACCACCACGTCCCATAGGTTGCAATACAAAAGGACATTCGTCACAATAACCCTTTGATGCAGCATTAGCTGTGCCGCCCTCAAACCGGCAAGTCTTTTCAAAACCCCATCCACGATGCGCATCGAATTTGCCTCTTGCGCGACCCTATCATCTCTCACGTACACTATCCCACATATCAATAGTTGATCCACCACACTCCACCCACCCTCTACAGTCCCATATCTATGTACTCTATCCCCTAGGTCCATATACTTGGACTTCGCTACATTAATTTTCATCCCAGTAGCCTCACCAAACATGTCTACCACCCTGCCTACCCTATGCAAATCCCTATCATCCCTCACCAAAACAGTCATGTCGTCCACACATCTATCCCACTATACCCGCCCCTCCCTCTCGTTCAGTACCAACCCAACCTCCAGCAATACACCACCTAACTGCCCTATAAAAGGAATCCTGTAGACACGCAAACAAATTTGCGATAGAGGGTATCCCTGTCACAATCCCCTTCCCATCTGAATGTTAACACCTAGCCTTCTGTTAACCTGTACTCTCATAGACACTCTCTGATACAATGTTTTCGCCCAGGATATAATTTCCATCCCGAAACCCTGCCAACGCATGAAACTCCATAATGCTTCCCTTTCTATGCTATCGCAAGCTGCCCTCCAATCCAATGCCAAAACTCCCCCACCCCCGAACTCCCCCTGTTTCTCTATAAAACTTCGAATCATACCATGCCCTTCATACAGTGACCTACCCGGCACCCCTTATTGTCCTCTATCAATTACCTTACCTATCACCTGTTTGATTCTATTCCCTAATATTCTTGCAAATAACTTACAATCGCCGCACATAAGTGAAAGTGCCCAGTAATCCTCTACCATGGTCTGTCCACCTTTCGCGAGCAGCAGTCCTTTGCTGCTCGCCCATTACCCCATCAGCCTTCATGACGTTGAACAATCTTACTAAAAACCCTCTCAATACTTCCCAATTCCTGACATAAAAATTATTAGGCAGCCCATCTACACCCGGCGCCTTACCTAAACTCGCCCCCGACAATGCTTGCCAAATCTCACATTCCGTGATTGGCCCTTCCAATGTCTCCCAATCTGTACCATCAATCTCACACTGCACAAATCCTCCCATTTCCCATAACGCCACATCTCAAATACCCATCCTTTGTATATATGACTTAAACCATGTATCTACATATCCACTCATACCCTCAGTCATCGCTAAAATCTGCCCCTCCCTATACCCTTCCATCCCCATGTGAACAGTTAACCCCATGATCTCTGTTGCCGCTCTCTTGCGCTGGCCCCTCAACATGCATGCCGAAGGCCGATCACCCCATAGCACCTCTTACATTCCACCCAAAACTCGTGCACCATCAAATCTTTCGTTTTGCAATTCCCTAATACCCTCCTTTAATCCCTCAATATCGTCCACCGGATAACTGGCACTCCCACGTTCGTAATAAGCTCGCAACTGCCCTTCAAGATAGCATTGATACCTGTACTTCAACCTGTTATATTCCCTCCCACTACGGACATAAAATTCTCTAATACGTGTTTTCGCCACCGAGTCCCGCCAACTAACCAGGTCACTATCCCCAGGTGCCTCCATCACCAACCCCTGCCACAACTGCACAGAAGACTGTCGGCACTCCTCTTTCTGCAACAACTTCACATTTAACTTCCAATATCCCTTAGACCTTCTTGGCAACCCCTCCCAACATATATCTGCCAAAACACCCCTGTGATCTGAAAATACCACGTCCATCACCCGCACACTGTGCACTACTACTGCTCTGGGCACGTACAATCGATCCAGTCTAGCAGCATACCCGTGCCTAATATATGTATGCTCCACCACCCCACCTCCCCCAACGTCCATCAACCCTACCCCAGTTAACAAATCCCCAAATATCCCTGAACAATACCCTGCCCCTTTTGGTTCAACATCCTTACGCCTTATCACACAATTCCAATCACCTCCTATCACGGCTACCCCTGGCATCCCATGCAAATAATATACTAGAACCTCCCTCACAAATTTATTCTTCATATGTCCATCACCCTCTGCTGGGCCATACACACACACCAACGTCATCTGTGCCTGGCCCCATAACCCATCCACACGAATCACCCTCCCCTCCCCCCCCTCACAATGCCGCACAACCAACGGGCTAGTTTCCTTCACCAGAATGGCTACACCTCCTTTCAACCTGATTGCATGCTCAACATACACGTTATATCCATCCACCTTCAACTCATATCCCGGTGTATAATTGTGTTCCTGCAAAAACACTATGTCGACACCATGACGCACCAAATATTCACTAAACCACACACACTTTCTCTGCGACCTCAAACCATTAATATTCAATGTCAAGCACTTAAAGCCGACAAAGGGGGTTTCCCTCTTGACACTATTACCGACTTGTCACCTGATCGTCTCATTGCACCCCTTTCCCTCCACCCCTTCTGGACACTGTTACCCAACCCCTGCCCCTGAGTGCCACTGAAACCTCTCTGCATGACATCTGCCCATGTTTTCTTCCCAGGGCGCTGTGCAGGCATAAGCGCTTATTCTGAATCAGAATGCACTGCTGCGTGCTTTCACGTCGTACCCTCAGCCTGCATCATCTCATCCGGCGCGGTGTCCTGATGAAGTTCCACCTCCACCGTTCGCACCAACAAGGCATCCCTGTCACACACATCAGGCTGAGCTGCCTTCACCATGCCCTCCTCCACAGCAGACCCAAGATACAGGTCTGTACCCTCCTGACAAAGACTCTTGTTTCCCAAAAATCACCCAATGCCGATGTTATCGTTGCTTCCGCATCGCTGTCAGTCACTTCTGGGATAACCTCATCCAACACTTGTACGACGTCCAAGGAAGGGGTGTCCCCCCCTCTCGCGGCACCTGCTGTCTCCATCTCCGCCGCCCTCTCAACCTCCTCACTCCATGACAAATTCTGCTGAGGCAATGTCGCATACGGTTGATCTTGGTTTGCATTCTTCTCCTCCACATCACATCGTTGCTGCTGTTCCTTATCACCACGTCCCCTACCACACTGTGCAGCAAGGTGATCATACGACCCACACAATCGACAGGTATGACATTGCCCAGCATATGTCACAAAAACCTGAGTTCGAAAATCATCCAGCACCACGTACGATGGTATAGGATGACAGAGCGTCATCTTTATGGAGTATGTGCCCTCAGGTATCCCCACATATGGCCCGCCCGACCAGTGGCCGTATGTATCGTACCGTATTTACTCAACGCAAAATGAATGTCAGATGAATCCGCCTTTAACGGCATATTCCTGATCTTAACCCATGTGTAGTAGCGTGAAACATCGTGCAACTGCTCCGTCACAGTATGGTTAACAGGTATGGCAATGTGAGGGAAAAGTTCAGTAGATAGGAGTAGAGAGGGAATATATATATATATATATTAACAATAGTTTCATTGCCGGCTACTCGTTAAGGTAGGGTCAGTCTAGCTCCCGATATTCCCGCCTTTTCTCCCCCAACCCCTAAATTGATAGTTTGTCTGCCGGCTACTAGTTAAGGTAGGGTCAGTCTAGCTCCTGCTATCCCTTCCCCTCCCTCTTACCCCCCCCCCCGAAAGGTGACGTGTGGGCTCTGGTTTAAAACAGTAAATCACTAGACTCACAGCTCCCAACTCTACTGTAAGTACATGCCTGCCTTGTATTCTAGTGGATTTATTGGTTGAAAGCTTCACTTTTGATCAATAATAAACTTAGTCTTTTCAGCCTTGCTCTATGTTGACTGTTGTAATAATCACCACATCTTTTAAGTATCACTTACCATGGAGAGTGATTATTTAAGCAGTGGGTAACCTGTCTATCTTTCCAGCTTGGATGTCAGAGAGGGTCACCTGGCAATCAACGAGTAGAACAGGAGAAGGACTAACGTCCAGAGACTTCTCCAGGTTGTATTGAAGTACCTGTGCACCTGTATGAAATTGCAGGACGTAACTCCACAGTATTGCAGCGGTAAAGAACCTGTTTTCCTGTCTTCGGGATAGAATACTCACTGGTATACTGTGAACAACTAGCCAGTGGTGGTCACCAACACCTGCGACCCCCCCCCCCATCATCAGCAACGGCTACGATTTCAACAACAGTGTCACCAACACCAGACACCCACGTTTTATATACATTTAAATTAGCGTTGAATTCAGTTATCATTTATATTTTTCATTTTTCATTTTCTTTAATGTAGGATTAATATTTCATATTTAAGTGTTTTAAATTTTATATTTTCCATATAATAGTGTTTATGTTTGTCTGTTATTATTTCTTTTTCTATTCACTAATTTTCTTGAGGAGGAGCCAGCCTGAGTAATACTGAATGAAGTTGTTACAGGGCTGAGTAAGCCTTCACAGGCAACCTCCTGGAACTTATCCACCACTGCCTCATACACACTTGCCGAGCTGAATTTCACAAAAATCCTCTTTGTGCCATTCAGCGCCACTCTGCAAATCTCCTCGATGGCTATGTCATAGGTATCACGGATTATTGCAGACAGAAGTAACTCCGTAGACGGCCCTGTCACAGCTCCACTGTTCAATTCAATACAGACTGTATTGATACGATGCCGGCTAGACAGCGTCCTGTTGTGAAAATATAACTGCCACCAGATAACTCCAGGAGGCAGCAGCAGCGCATGTCCTCTCCACTCAAGGGTTGAGAGACGAATGTAATTTATAAGTACAATGGAACCTCTGGTCACGACCATAATTCTTTCCAAAACTCTGGTGGCGACCCGATTTGGTTGTGACTTGAACCTAATTTCCCCACTGGATTGTATGTAAATACGATTATTCCGTTCCAGACCCTTATGAACTGTACGTAAATATATATTTTTTTTAATTTTTAAGCACAAAATTAGTTAATTATTCCATAGAATGCACAGTGTAATACTAAACTAAATGTAAAAACCTTGAATAACACTGAGAAAACCTTGAACAACAGAGAAAACTAACACTGCACAAGTCCTTTCTAGACCCCGACGAACCGTTCGCTGTAAACAGATCTTTCTTTTTTAGTTTTAAGAGACGTCTAATGACTCAGAAGTGAACTCCGTTATTTACCTTCCGATTTCTTTCATTTTTGATGTACGTTAAGAAGAATTTTTCCATCATACATTGACCAAGTTTCAATAAGACAGCCCAACAAACAACTGAGAAAAAAAATATTTACCACAAATCATATATGGTAAGTCCTAGCCGGGTACTGGCATTGCGAGAAGCTGTTTGTGCACTACCTGCTTATAAAACATTGCTAATCCGAATTTATAACGGTCGTAATTACTGTAATTTACGAATAACTTACTTCTGAGATAATCGACGAAAACGAGTACGCACCGAAAAAAAAATCGAGAAAATAAGTCACTCTGACTTTTTTGGGTTATCCTAGGTTCTCTACACATATGCTGCTACGTATCATAATCTATGTAACTGTATTTGTGCATACCTGAATAAGCTTACTTAGTTTTATGGTGCATTACGAGTGTATATCACAGTTAGCACTGTATTAAACTACGTTTTCTCTAAGTATCCTGAAAGGGATAAGAGGATGGTACTTTATCTTTTATTCTCGAGTTCACAGTATTAAGAACATAAGAACATAAGAAAGAAGGAACACTGCAGCAGGCCTGCTGGCCCATACTAGGCAGGTCCTTTACAATTCATCCCACTAACAAACATTTGACCAACCCAATTTTCAACGCCACCCAAGAAACAAGCTCCGATGTGCAAGTCCCACTCAAATCCAACCCTTCCCACTCATGTACTTATCCAACCTAAATTTGAAACTACCCAAAGTCCTAGCATTATAGTATTGTAGATGAATGGTTCAAAGAACCGACATGATGTTGAATTAGACACATGTGCAACTCTTGGGTATCTTTATAGAGGAAACGTTTCTTAATACTTGGGAATTCTTCACTTGTCTAACCCTTGGGCACGACCTACTTCCACATTGGACAAATGTGACACCACCTACGACTGCTGCACCTCTCCTGCCATACGGTTTATAAGCTGCTTCTCCGCTCATATGCCGTATTCTATTCAAGATTGATGGACTGACCACATCGATTCAAGGTTGAGGGACTGATTACCTCATTCTCCTCCTGTTCTTCAGTTTCTCCTTTGTATGGACTGATGAAGCCACTGTGTGGCGAAACGTTTCCTCAATAAAGATACCCAAGAGTTGCACATGTGTCTAATTCAACAACGAGTTCACAGTGAACGAACGCATGTCTGAGACCGACTACAAGGCGAGGCTCCTTGTTAGGTGTACACAAACAACAGGAAGTGGCGAAAATTGACGAGTGCAAAAAAAGTTTCGAGGAATGTGAAAATTGGCACAGCTGTGTTTGTTCGGCACTGATTATGTATTTGTGACCAGATGTAAAAATTTGGCGAATTTTTTGGGCGTGAACCGATTTGTTCGTGTTGGGAAGCGTTCGTGACCAGAGGTTCCACTGTATTATTATTATTAATGTAATAATTTCTTCAAATCTAACATTCCTAAATGTTAAATTTAGAATTACTAAATACAGCTAGTGGTAAGCTTTATTTAAAAATGAATTACACCCAGATATACCACTGACTTCTGCATAAGAAGTTTGAAAAATGGAAGGTGGCAAGGAAATAAGGTATATTAAAATCGTCAACATCATTTGGAATCTAATCATTACTATATGAAAATAAATTTATAGACTGAAGCATTCAGTCAATACCCAGATGAATTCTTCTCTTACCAAACTTGTTTTTGAGGAATAGTGATGACCCTGCACAAACCACCCTGCCAGAGGCCATAATAGCTACACGGTCACCCAGTACATCAGCTTCCTCCATGTGGTGGGTAGTGACGAGGACGGTGCGACGTCCTCGCTCTCCCTGCACCACGTCCCATACCCACCGTCGAGACTCTGGGTCCAGTCCGCTGCTTGGCTCGTCCAGGATCACCACCTGCCGCATATACATTTCAGGAATTAAACTGGAATTTGGTCGGATTTTCATTGTACTCATGTTTTTATTTTTTTATTTATAAAATTTATTTATTATTTTTTTTTTTTTTTTGCTTTTCTCAACTTCTCTAATACTGTTAAAGAAGTGTATACAAAAGAACAAGGGCATATAATCCATTGCTGAAATTATTATATACTTATTGCTTCTGAATATAAATATCAATGCATATTTCTGTCTGTGATTATAAAAACAGGTATAAGACCTATATATTTAACACATTAATTGTGTTTTGTTTAGCACGGATGTACCTTGGAACCTCCTATGAGGGAGATAGCCAAGCAGAGTTTGCGTTTCATGCCACCAGAAAGTTGATTGCCGAAGAAGTCTTGTTTGTCGTGCAGATCCAATTGTCTCAGGATTCCCATGCCTTCTTCTCTTGAAGCAGCTGTTGTCATCCCTTTAAGCTATGGGTAAGGAATCACTCTTTATCCATAATATATATATGTCGTGCCGAATATGTAAAACTGGTCAATTAGCAAGAACTCATTTAAAATTAAGTCCTTTCTAAAATTTTCTCTTATACGTTTAAAGATATATTTTTTTAATTAATGTTGATGTAAAAATTTATAATTTTGCACCAAAAGGAACTTAGAAAACTTACCTAACCTTATTATAATAAGCGCAATTTATTTTAGCCTAACCCATCTAAATATATTTCAGTTTTGCTTACAGTAATTTAATACTAAACAAACACAGTGAAATATATTTTTTTCGTTAGGTTCAGAATGATTTTGGCGAAATTATTGCATACACAAATTTTCGCTTGTCCTATATGGCAAGATGAGCGTTGCTATTTAAGCCAAGATCGCAAGTTCTGCCTATTCGGCAAGACATATACATACATATATATACATATAATATATATATATATATATATATATATATATATATATATATATATATATATATATATATATATATATAAAATATATATATATATATAATATACATGTTGTGCCGAATATGTAAAACTGGTCAATTAGCAAGAACTCATTTAAAATTAAGTCCTTTCTAAAATTTTCTCTGATACGTTTAAAGATATATTTTTTTCATTAATGTTAATGTAAAAATTTATCATTTTGCACGAAAAGAATCTTAGAAAACTTACCTAACCCTATTATAACAAGAACAATTTATTTTAGCCTAACCCAACTAAATATATTTTAGATTTGTTTACAATAATTTAATACTAAACAAACACTGTGAAATATATTTTTTTTCGTTAGGTTCAGCATGATTTTGGCGAAATTATTGCATACATAAATTTTCGCTTGTCCTATATGGCAAGATGAACGTTGCTATTAAAGCCAAAATCGCAAGTTCTGCCTATTCGGCACGACATACATATATAATATATATATATATATATATATATATATATATATATATATATATATATATATATATATATATATATATATATATATATATATATATATATATTTTTTTTTTTTTATTATTATCACACCGGCGGATTCCCACCAAGGCAGGGTGGCCCGAAAAAGAAAAACTTTCACCATCATTCACTCCATCACTGTCTTGCAGAAGGGTGCTTTACACTATAGTTTTTAAACTGCAACATTAACACCCCTCCTTCAGAGTGCAGGCACTGTACTTCCCATCTCCAGACTCAAGTCCGGCCTGCCGGTTTCCCTGAATCCCTTCATAAATGTTACTTTGCTCACACTCCAACAGCACGTCAAGTATTAAAAACCATTTGTCTCCATTCACTCCTATCAAACACGCTCACGCATGCCTGCTGGAAGTCCAAGCCCCTCGCACACAAAACCTCCTTTACCCCCTCCCTCCAACCCTTCCTAGGCCGACCCCTACCCCGCCTTCCTTCCACTACAGACTGATACACTCTTGAAGTCATTCTATTTCGCTCCATTCTCTCTACATGTCCGAACCACCTCAACAACCCTTCCTCAGCCCTCTGGACAACAGTTTGGTAATCCCGCACCTCCTCCTAACTTCCAAACTACGAATTCTCTGCATTATATTCACACCCACACATTGCCCTCAGACATGACATCTCCACTGCCTCCAGCCTTCTCCTCGCTGCAACATTCATCACCCACGCTTCACACCCATATAAGAGCGTTGGTAAAACTATACTCTCATACATTCCCCTCTTTGCCTCCAAGGACAAAGTTCTCTGTCTCCACAGACTCCTAAGTGCACCACTCACTCTTTTTCCCTCATCAATTCTATGATTCACCTCATCTTTCATAGACCCATCCGCTGACACGTCCACTCCCAAATTATCTGAATACGTTCACCTCCTCCATACTCTCTCCCTCCAATCTGATATTCAATCTTTCATCACCTAATCTTTTTGTTATCCTCATAACCTTACTCTTTCCTGTATGCACCTTTAATTTTCTTCTTTTGCACACCCTACCAAATTCATCCACCAATCTCTGCAACTTCTCTTCAGAATCTCCCAAGAGCACAGTGTCATCAGCAAAGAGCAGCTGTGACAACTCCCACTTTGTGTGTGATTCTTATCTTTTAACTCCACGCCTCTTGCCAAGACCCTCGCATTTACTTCATCTTACAACCCCATCTATAAATATATTAAACAACCACGGTGACATCACACATCCTTGTCTAAGGCCTACTTTTACTGGAAAAAATTTCCCTCTTTCCTACATAACTCTAACTTGAGCCTCACTATCCTCGTAAAAACTCTTCACTGCTTTCAGTAACCTACCTCCTACACCATACACTTGCAACATCTGCCACATTGCCCCCTATCCACCCTGTCCATACGCCTTTTCCAAACCCATAAATGCCACAAAGACCTCTTTAGCCTTATCTAAATACTGTTCACTTATATGTTTCACTGTAAACACCTGGTCCACACACCCCCTAACCTTTCCTAAAGCCTCCTTGTTCATCTGCTATCCTATTCTCCGTCTTACTCTTAATTCTTTCAATTATAACTCTACCATACACTTTACCAGGTACACTCAACAGACTTATCCCCCTATAATTTTTGCACTCTCTTTTATCCCCTTTGCCTTTATACAAAGGAACTATGCATGCTCTCTGCCAATCCCTAGGTACCTTACCCTCTTCCATACATTTATTAAATAATTGCACCAACCACTCCAAAACTATATCCCCACCTGCTTTTAACATTTCTATCTTTATCCCATCAATCCCGGCTGCCTTACCCCTTTCATTTTACCTACTGCCTCACGAACTTCCCCCACACTCACAACTGGCTCTTCCTCACTCCTACAAGATGTTATTCCTCCTTGCCCTATACACGAAATCACAGCTTCCCTATCGTCATCAACATTTAACAATTCCTCAAAATATTCCTTCCATCTTTCCCAATACCTCTAACTCTCCATTTAATAACTCTCCTCTCCTATTTTTAACTGACAAATCCATATGTTCTCTAGGCTTTCTTAACTTGTTAATCTCACTCCAAAACTTTTTCTTATTTTCAACAAAATTTGTTGATACATCTCACCCACTCTCTCATTTGCTCTCTTTTAAATTGCTTCACCACTCTCTTAACTTCTCTCTTTTTCTCCATATACTCTTCCCTCCTTGCATCACTTCTACTTTGTAAAAACTTCTCATATGCTAACTTTTTCTCCCTTACTACTCTCTTTACATCATCATTCCACCAATCGCTCCTCTTCCCTCCTGCACCCACTTTCCTGTAACCACAAACTTCTGCTGAACACTCTAACACTACATTTTTAAACCTACCCCATACCTCTTCGACCCCATTGCCTATGCTCTCATTAGCCCATCTATCCTCCAATAGCTGTTTATATCTTACCCTAACTGCCTCCTCTTTTAGTTTATAAACCTTCACCTCTCTCTTCCCTGATGCTTCTATTCTCCTTGTATCCCATCTACCTTTTACTCTCAGTGTAGCTACAACTAGAAAGTGATCTGATATATCTGTGGCCCCTCTATAAACATGTACATCCTGAAGTCTACTCAACAGTCTTTTATCTACCAATACATAATCCAACAAACTACTGTCATTTCGCCCTACATCATATCGTGTATACTTATTTATCCTCTTTTTCTTAAAATATGTATTACCTATAACTAAACCCCTTTCTATACAAAGTTCAATCAAAGGGCTCCCATTATCATTTACACCTGGCACCCCAAACTTACCTACCACACCCTCTCTAAAAGTTTCTCCCTACTTTAGCATTCAAGTCCCCTACCACAATTACTCTCTCACTTGGTTCAAAGGCTCCTATACATTCACTTAACATCTCCCAAAATCTCTCTCTCTCCTCTGCATTCCTCTCTTCTCCAGGTGCATACACGCTTATTATGACCCACTTCTCGCATCCACATAATTCTTGAATTTACACATTCATATTCTCTTTTCTCCTTCCATAACTGATCATTTAACATTACTGCTACCCCTTCCTTTGCTCTAACTCTCTCAGATACTCCAGATTTAATCCCATTTATTTCCCCCCACTGAAACTCTCCTACCCCCTTCAGCTTTGTTTCGCTTAGGGCCAGGACATCCAACTTCTTTTCATTCATAACATCAGCAATCATCTGTTTCTTGTCATCCGCACTACATCCACGCACATTTAAGCAACCCAGTTTTATAAAGTTTTTCTTCTTCTCTTTTTTAGTAATTGTATACAGGAGAAGGGGTTACTAGCCCATTGCTCCCGGCATTTTAGTCGCCTCATATGACACGCATGGCTTACGGAGGAAAGATTCTTTTCCACTTCCCCATGGACAATAGAAGAAATAAAAAAGAACAAGAGCTATTTAGAAAAAGGAGAAAAACCTAGATGTATGTATATATATATATATGCATGTGCGTGTCTGTGAAGTGTGACCAAAGTGTAAGTAGGAGTAGCAAGATATCCCTGTTATCTTAGCGTGTTTATGAGGCAGAAAAAGAAACCAGCAATCCTACCATCATGCAAAACAGTTACAGGTTTTTGTTTCACAGTCATCTGGCAGGACGGTAGTACTTCCCTGGGTGGTTGCTGTCTACCAACCTACTACCTCATATATATATATATATATATATACATATATATATATATATGTATATATATACATACATCTAGGTTTTTCTCCTTTTTCTAAATAGCTCTTGTTCTTTTTTATTTCTTCTATTGTCCATGGGGAAGTGGAAAAGAATCTTTCCTCCGTAAGCCATGCGTGTCGTATGAGGCGACTAAAATGCCGGGAGCAATGGGCTAGTAACCCCTTCTCCTGTATACAATTACTAAAAAAGAGAAGAAGAAAAACTTCATAAAACTGGGTTGCTTAAATGTGCGTGGATGCAGTGCGGATGACAAGAAACAGATGATTGCTGATGTTATGAATGAAAAGAAGTTGGATGTCCTGGCCCTAAGCGAAACAAAGCTGAAGGGGGTAGGAGAGTTTCAGTGGGGGGAAATAAATGGGATTAAATCTGGAGTATCTGAGAGAGTTAGAGCAAAGGAAGGGGTAGCAGTAATGTTAAATGATCAGTTATGGAAGGAGAAAAGAGAATATGAATGTGTAAATTCAAGAATTATGTGGATTAAAGTAAAGGTTGGATGCGAGAAGTGGGTCATAATAAGCGTGTATGCACCTGGAGAAGAGAGGAATGCAGAGGAGAGAGAGAGATTTTGGGAGATGTTAAGTGAATGTATAGGAGCCTTTGAACCAAGTGAGAGAGTAATTGTGGTAGGGGACCTGAATGCTAAAGTAGGAGAAACTTTTAGAGAGGGTGTGGTAGGTAAGTTTGGGGTGCCAGGTGTAAATGATAATGGGAGCCCTTTGATTGAACTTGTATAGAAAGGGGTTTAGTTATAGGTAATACATATTTTAAGAAAAAGAGGATAAATAAGTATACACGATATGATGTAGGGGCGAAATGACAGTAGTTTGTTGGATTATGTATTGGTAGATAAAAGACTGTTGAGTAGACTTCAGGATGTACATGTTTATAGAGGGGCCACAGATATATCAGATCACTTTCTAGTTGTAGCTACACTGAGAGTAAAAGGTAGATGGGATACAAGGAGAATAGAAGCATCAGGGAAGAGAGAGGTGAAGGTATAAACTAAAAGAGGAGGCAGTTAGGTAAGATATAAACAGCTATTGGAGGATAGATGGGCTAATGAGAGCATAGGCAATGGGGTCGAAGAGGTATGGGGTAGGTTTAAAAATGTAGTGTTAGAGTGTTCAGCAGAAGTTTGTGGATATAGGAAAGTGGGTGCGGGAGGGAAGAGGAGCGATTGGTGGAATGATGATGTAAAGAGAGTAGTAAGGGAGAAAAAGTTAGCATATGAGAAGTTTTTACAAAGTAGAAGTGATGCAAGGAGGGAAGAGTATATGGAGAAAAAGAGAGAAGTTAAGAGAGTGGTGAAGCAATGTAAAAAGAGAGCAAATGAGAGAGTGGGTGAGATGTTATCAACAAATTTTGTTGAAAATAAGAAAAAGTTTTGGAGTGAGATTAACAAGTTAAGAAAGCCTAGAGAACAAATGGATTTGTCAGTTAAAAATAGGAGAGGAGAGTTATTAAATGGAGAGTTAGAGGTATTGGGAAGATGGAAGGAATATTTTGAGGAATTGTTAAATGTTGATGAAGATAGGGAAGCTGTGATTTCGTGTATAGGGCAAGGAGGAATAACATCTTGTAGGAGTGAGGAAGAGCCAGTTGTGAGTGTGGGGGAAGTTCGTGAGGCAGTAGGTAAAATGAAAGGGGGTAAGGCAGCCGGGAGTGATGGGATAAAGATAGAAATGTTAAAAGCAGGTGGGGATATAGTTTTGGAGTGGTTGGTGCAATTATTTAATAAATGTATGGAAGAGGGTAAGGTACCTAGGGATTGGCAGAGAGCATGCATAGTTCCTTTGTACAAAGGCAAAGGGGATAAAAGAGAGTGCAAAAATTATAGGGGGATAAGTCTGTTGAGTGTACCTGGTAAAGTGTATGGTAGAGTTATAATTGAAAGAATTAAGAGTAAGACGGAGAATAGGATAGCAGATGAACAAGGAGGCTTTAGGAAAGGTAGGGGGTGTGTGGACCAGGTGTTTACAGTGAAACATATAAGTGAACAGTATTTAGATAAGGCTAAAGAGGTCTTTGTGGCATTTATGGATTTGGAAAAGGCGTATGACAGGGTGGATAGGGGGCAATGTGGCAGATGTTGCAAGTGTATAGTGTAGGAGGTAGGTTACTGAAAGCAGTGAAGAGTTTTTACGAGGATAGTGAGGCTCAAGTTAGAGTATGTAGGAAAGAGGGAAATTTTTTCCCAGTAAAAGTAGGCCTTAGACAAGGATGTGTGATGTCACCGTGGTTGTTTAATATATTTATAGATGGGGTTGTAAGAGAAGTAAATGCGAGGGTCTTGGCAAGAGGCGTGGAGTTAAAAGATAAAGAATCACACACAAAGTGGGAGTTGTCACAGCTGCTCTTTGCTGATGACACTGTGCTCTTGGGAGATCTGAAGAGAAGTTGCAGAGATTGGTGGATGAATTTGGTAGGGTGTGCAAAAGAAGAAAATTAAAGGTGAATACAGGAAAGAGTAAGGTTATGAGGATAACAAAAAGATTAGGTGATGAAAGATTGAATATCAGATTGGAGGGGGAGAGTATGGAGGAGGTGAACGTATTCAGATATTTGGGAGTGGACGTGTCAGCGGATGGGTCTATGAAAGATGAGGTGAATCATAGAATTGATGAGGGAAAAAGAGTGAGTGGTGCACTTAGGAGTCTGTGGAGACAAAGAACTTTGTCCTTGGAGGCAAAGAGGGGAATGTATGAGAGTATAGTTTTACCAACGCTCTTATATGGGTGTGAAGCGTGGGTGATGAATGTTGCAGCGAGGAGAAGGCTGGAGGCAGTGGAGATGTCATGTCTGAGGGCAATGTGTGGTGTGAATATAATGCAGAGAATCGTAGTTTGGAAGTTAGGAGGAGGTGCGGGATTACCAAAACTGTTGTCCAGAGGGCTGAGGAAGGGTTGTTGAGGTGGTTCGGACATGTAGAGAGAATGGAGCGAAACAGAATGACTTCAAGAGTGTATCAGTCAGTAGTGGAAGGAAGGCGGGGTAGGGGTCGGCCTAGAAAGGGTTAGAGGGAGGGGGTAAAATAGGTTTTGTGTGCGAGGGGCTTGGACTTCCAGCAGGCATGCGTGAGCGTGTTTGATAGGAGTGAATGGAGACAAATGGTTTTTAATACTTGACGTGCTGTTGGAGTGTGAGCAAAGTAACATTTATGAAGGGATTCAGGGAAACCGGCAGGCCGGACTTGAGTCCTGGAGATGGGAAGTACAGTGCCTGCACTCTGAAGGAGGGGTGTTAATGTTGCAGTTTAAAAACTGTAGTGTAAAGCACCCTTCTGGCAAGACAGTGATGGAGTGAATGATGGTGAAAGTTTTTCTTTTTCGGGCCACCCTGCCTTGGTGGGAATCGGCCGGTGTGATAATAAAATATATATATATATATATATATATATATATTATATATATATATATATATATATATATATATATATATATATATATATATCCCAGCCGAATGCCAGCCACTCACTGGTCTTCCCTATACCCCACCCCATGTGGGGTCGGGTGGGATAGGCCCCACAGTTTGCAGATAGCATGAAGTAGAGTAACTAGGAGATAGTTAATAGCCAGCTTTGAACTACATTCGGTTGGGCGTCTCTCCCTCATTCAGAAAGAAAGACTGGTCCTTAATTAAGTCTGGTCTAAAGAAAATAATATTTACTTACAATATAGAGAGGACAAGTGTGTCTTTTATGGAGCCTAGTTTAATAATAACGATAATAACAATAATAATAATAATAGTAATAATAATAATAACACCCACCCTGCCAAAGAAGAGGAGGTGCTGGAGGACGGTGAGATCGACGAAGAGCATATTATGTTGGGGGCAGAGACCCACCTCCTCCCTCGCCTCAGCCAAGTTGGTCGCAATGTTCCACCCACCAACCTCTGCATACCCTCCACTTGGAGCAAACACTCCTGCAGGTTTATAGAATAATGTGCATTGTTCTAGATATATAAACTGAGAAACTGATGGGGTTCATTCAGTACGTGGTGTACTGAATGAACCCCATTGTGAACCTAGAGTTGTTCACAATGAACTCTCAAGGTGAGTATTTCAGGAGAATTAAAATAAACCATCCTGAGAAGAATTAAAAAAAAAAAATTCTTATTCCGTATCCATGACTCACATGTATACGTCGTAGATATCATGTCTATGACAGTCTATTAAAACTGGTGGGCATACATGATTCTGACTGAATTAGTTACAATTGTTTTCTAATATTTCTTGGAATATCTACTCACACATATGATAATAGACCTTTCAACCAAACCTGAATCATTTGCAATAAACAGTTAATTACGCACAAAGGTAAACGAGCTTAGTGATAAGCCTTTCTGCTCACAACCGAAAGAATCTGAGTGCCATTCCCGTGCTGGCTGAGACGTATGGACAAATCTTCTCACACTTGTTGACTCTGCTTAATAATAATAATAATAATAATAATAATAATAATAATAATAATAATAATAATAATAATAATAATAATGATAATAATAATAATTTTTTCTACAAGTACATTTACAAGGCATACTAGGTGACAGCAATGACATACTGCTAAACAGAAAGCCCCTTGTTATGCACAGCATTTAGGGCAAATTAAGTCAATTTTATCCCCAGGATGTAATCCACTCCAGTCAGCTAACACCCTGGTACCTATCTTACTAATAGGTAAACTGGGACAACAAGTGTCTTTAGGAAACACTTCCCAATGTTTCCTCCTGTACCAGGGATCGATCCGCAGACCTCAGTGTGTGAGTAGGGTGAGCTAGAAATCGAGCTTCAGGAGAGCCAATTTAATTTTGTCACTAGGAGTTGGTTAACTGCTGTGAGTCTTATCTTACTGCATGGCCACTGGTCCATTCTGAATTAATTAACAATGCACCTGAGTTTAATAGCCATCAGAATGTATTTAATTACGAGTAACTAGTGAGAATGAACCTCCTACAAGACTGATTTACCTGTGAGTATAGACATTGTTGTGGTCTTGCCAGCACCGTTGTGACCCAACAACACTGTACACTGACCCTCGTAGCAGGTCATGGAGACGTCTTCAACAGCCACCTTCACCTTCCCTCCCAGAGTCTTGAACTCTTTTCTGTAAATAACATACAATCAACTTTATGATTTAAAATATTGTATTCAGTTGGTTGGTGACATAACTTTAATAGGACCGCAAAGTAAGTTTACCGTGTAAAAATTATCTGTTATTACTTGATTTTCAGCATATCTAAGTCCTGCTTAGCACACATAACCATCAGAAAAGATATTAAACATTTATTAATTAATGTCACATTCTAAATAAAAACATACCAGTATATAACTTGTATTATATAAGAAAATTTTTCTAATTAGCTCTTGCTAGTGTTTTGTGATTGTTTTGGACAAATTATTTCTTGAAAGATTACAAGTGTCTAATTTCATATTGTACTGTTTTTTGACACACGGTAGGCATGCAAAGAGTATGTTACAATTTATTCGGCGTATGTCTCACTCCCACATAGGCTGCCTCCCAACCAGCAGACTGGGTGCTTAGGGTTTAAGGATCGATAGGGTTCCCATCGTTAAATCAGTACATTGGTTCATTAACCAATCACAGGCATAAAGTGTGCGACGGACAAGTGTAGTAGTAGCAGCAGCAACACACACAGCAAGAGACATTCTTGAGCTTCCCCAGCGCTCGGGCTTAATGCCCAAGCTCGGGTGTAACTCCAAAAGGATCCTACAGTGCTTGCTGCTTTTGCACCTCTTGACATCGTCTGCTGCTGTGCAGTTGTCCACACCCTTTGATCCCAGTGTGGACGGGGTTGTGGCAGCCCAAGGTGCCTAGCTTCTCCCTCCGAGCCCAGTGGGGGTGAGGAATGGGGCTAGGCCTCTGAACAGCTGGTTCTAGAAGACGAGCAGGTACCTGTACCACCTCTCATGGCAAACACTGGTGTAAGACACTGCCTCGACGGAGAGCCAAGGCCAGGCAGCCTCTAGGAAAAGGCCCGGACCGGGCGATTATACCGCCGAATCTACAACAGAACAGAATCACAGGCAAATCCGCCAGAGCTGAAGCAACGTGGTTCACTTTCAGTAAGCATTGCCTACCTGCTGCTTGAGTACGATGCACTCTCTCTCTGGCTTCTGCTTTGCCATCTGACACCGTGGTGTACACTTATTATTATTCCATCTGTACATATTGTACATACTTGTATAGAGTAGGTGAAGGCAAAATATACATTATAGTCTACTGCTGAGTTTGCTCCAGTTCCCATTACGACCAGGTCTCACAGGCCATTCATTACCTGTGTTCGTAATAATCAGTATCTTAGCTCCTTTCTTTCTGTCCCAGCGCACTTATACCTTACTGATCAATATTTGCTAGTAGAAGCTAATTTTATTTATTGCAAGAATTGAAAAAAAGATTTAACCGGGAACAGCCAAAGTGTGCAGATTTTTAGGAAGGAGAAAAATCATTTAAAATATGCACGTTAGTCTAAGAAAAAATATTTAAAAAATAATTAAATAGTAACATTTCCTAAGTTTGAGATATTTTATTAATTATAGTTCTTAATCCTTTTCACGCAATAGAGATTATTGACAAAATATTGCAATATATTATTCGTCTAAATGGAATGTACCAAACTGTTCTAAGTATCATTAGTGATGTGTTAGTTATGGTTCATATTACATAAGGACTCATGAAGTAAAATAATTAGTGGCACCATTCCTACCTATGATCAAAAATACCTAACATCTCCTCCATTTCTCAATCAAAATTTAAGAGACTGACGGAAATGCTGCAGCTAGCTTTCAGAAAAATAAATGGATACTCGAAGGTTGTCGTCCTTACGGGTTTAGCATAGTTTAGCCATAGTTTTTGACAACTCCCTCAAGATGTGTTTCCATCACTAAGTGATCCGTGAATTGCATCTCCATATTCCACAACCTCAACCTTCTGTACGTCAATGTACGCGAAAAGAATAAGCAGCTGCCTCTTGTTTCTAATGTATTCAGAAACTACACAAGTTCAAAATTTGAAGCTCATTAGAAAAGGCAATATCTAATTACGGCAAGGATTCCTACGGTTCACAACTTTTTGTAACTAATTTACTATAATGCTGCACTCGGTCAAAAGCTCTTGGGTACTAATTTAGGCTGTAAAATGCATCAACAGTTAAATATTGAAGCCATTCGGAAGAGTTAGTCTGAAATTCCTTGAAAACAATTTAACGAGAATGAGAAAACACACACCATTTTACGCATAAAATGTGCAAATTTGCAGCTACACAACTGAATTTCACTCTTCCCTATTGTCGAATTGGGAGGCGCCTCTACTGACCGCCTGAAGCGCTACGGTTTTGAGAGTTACTGGAGAAATTTCAGGATGTTGAGAATGGGTTTAACAAGTAGTCTCAGGTTACCTGCTCATGCCTACTATTTCATGATTCAAGTTCTCATTATCGCGTAGAAATGCTGAAAATTTACAGCCAATCAGATTAAGAGTTCACGAGTTATAAGTGAAATAAAACGAAAAGTTGAAAGAAAAAAGGAAAAAAATAGGAAAAATTCAAGCAAGTATTTAGATGTTCCCCTTCGTGGATACCTAATTAACTGACTTTTCTTAAGACTCAACCAGTCAATGAATATGATTTAGTATAGTAATAAATATATGTTCTATAAGTACTTAAGCCAAACGTCTGTATGGACAATACCAAATATACAGATTTATGATAAAGTATCTTTCACATTGATCCCTCGTAGTCCCGCTTTCCCAACAAAAACACACAGAAGTAACCAACATGAATAGCTGTTCGCTTACTTGACAAGCTGAAGGCTTTAGAATAGCAGGTGAGAGAAATAAACGAATAATCTAAGGTTACGTTAAACAAGACAGGTAAAAGCTGTAAAACTGAGATAAAAATAATAATACGGAGGCAATAATACTTACCATCGTCTGAGAATTGGATAGCTATAGTGACTTACTGACCATGCCCAGTAACACACATCACCTACCTTCCCAGAGAGTAGTATGGTAAGAGGCAGGTTAGCAGTTCTGGCGACTGTATTCCTCTCTGACAATCACTTCATGCATCCAGACGATCCGCACCACAGCCATACATATATGCACGCAGAAATATATACAAGAGAGATGATTTCTTGGCAACAGCAATTTGTTCAAAAAGTGGATGTCGTCAGAGAAAGAGAAAAGAGGAAATTGTTGCAGTTGTGGATGCCGTCAGAAAGTTAGGAAGGGTTAAAAAAAAATTCTGCCCTCAATCGATATATTTAGAGGGAGGAAGAGCTAAGATTTCTTCTAGTAGCGAATGTGTCCAAGGAGTAGGAGAGGATGAGGCTTCGTATTATTGATGGCATACAATACCAACAACATTTGGATATGACTATTGGTGGAACGTTTCGCGTGTACTACAGGCGAATGTGAATTCAGCACTGGAAGCAACAGTAATACTGAAGTGAATAGCCGGTTTCCCCTTAGGTGAGAAGTAAGCGGCCAGACCTAATATACCAGAGCAGACGTGAGATGAAGGAGCTGGAATTGATGTCAACCTAACCCGGAAAAGACTTTCCCTCTGTGAAAATACCTGGTTTTGCGAGTCAAAAATATGTATTTTTGAGGGTATACTTTTACGGCATGCTGATAAGGCACAACTAAAACATTTGGTTTTTTTTATTGCAAAAGTTTCGCCTAACAACAGGTTTCCTCATTAGTCAGTGAATGAAACACTGGAAACAGTTGAAGTATTTTGATATGAAAGTGTTCCCTAATTATAAATTTGCTGTTTGCTTATGTTAGGTGAGGGACCCGCAGATGTCCCTAAGGACGGGTTATGAGGCACATGTAAACAAGTGTTTGGGGAGTAACATTAAGATCGGTAAGAAAGAATAGGTTTAAAGAAGGAGGGCAGAGTGTAAAAAAGGAAACTTAAATAAGTAAAAATTTTGTATTTAAAAATGTACATGAAAGTGATGTATTAGTGATAAAAACACTGGAGACGGTAAATAAAAAAAGGTGAGGAAAGATGTGCAGGGTGATAGGGTCTGTAAAAAGAAATTCTGTTATGATAAAAACGAGGGCTGTTCAGAAAATGGGTACATTTTGAAAGAGTGTGAAGGGGTCTTTGGGAAAAATTGCAGCGATACTAAATTTTATGAAACGCAATGTGGTGCGAATGATATAAAGAAAATAAGAGACAGAGAAATGAGAAAATTGTGTGGTGGAATGAAATGTAAAATTTTAAAAGAAGAATCGGGGTTGATGAGATGGTATAGTCATTAAGAAAGGAGTAAAACTGGAAAGAATACAAGTGATAATTGGGTGAGTGAAATAAGGTGTACTGACGCCAGAGAAAGTGTTGGAATAATTATGTGAAAAGGGTACTGATAGGTCATTAGTTGAACTTCTACAAAGGCAGGTTTGATGGGTGTGTGTGACGGGAAGATGAGATAAGCACTTTATAACGTATAGGTGTAATGGACATGTGCAAGAGGCTGGTGGTTATCATACCTGAGATTCCTGATGACAATGCCTGGTGTTAATCCAGCTGGTTCTTCCTCGAAGTACTGTCTGCTGTCAACATCATAAGTATCACCTACAGAGTCAAGATCCTTCTCAGCTGTTTCAGAACCACACCAGTAACTTTTCTGCAATAGTGATTTTGGTCATTCCAAAAACAGTTATTATTGTTATTATTATTATTATTATTATTGTTATTATTATTATTATTATTATTATTATTATTATTATTATTATTATTATTATTATTATTATTATTATTATTATTATTATTATTATTAGGTCTCTTCGAAAGAGGACCTTTAAGAGGTTGCCTGAATATTTTCTTTTTTTTTTCTTCCTTCAACTTTTCGATATTATTTCGTTCTTAACTCGAGAATGCCTGGTCCAACCTGCTTCAAATTGTAAACAATGAGGTTGTTCATGTGCCCTATGAACAAAGATATTGAACCCATTCCCTGACTTCTGAAATGGCTCTGTGGCGTAGTTACAAACACTCAAAAATATTGCCTAGTAATTCGACAACAGTCGAGACCGAAATTCAGACCAGTTGGTGTCGAGTTAACTATTTTTATTTGTAAAATCACGTTAAATGATTTTCAGTTTACCTCTTCTGAACAGCTTCAGTTTTTAATGGTTGGTGCTTAAATTTGTTGCTGTAGAAAAAAAAATCTTGGAATTATAGAAATATAGTACATCAACACTGGAAAATAACTCATCTGACCGGTCTCAAATTTCCACCACTGGTGTTGTATTCTACACACAAGTTTCACGCAGTTATTGGATGGCATAAACTCCAGTTTACCAATTTTAGTGCATAAAAAATGACATTCATTTGTACTCACTAACTAGTGAATGCAGTGGGAGGATGGGGAAAACACAGAAAACCGGGATCGTTGTGTTAGTGCCGAAAAAGAAGGAAGGGAAAGTACTGAGTGATTATAGAGCAATATCCTTAATGTGTGCCGATTATAAAATTTATTCTAAAATTCTGGGCAATAGAATGAAGAAGGTTCTAGGATCAGTGATACATGGGGGCCAGTATGGCAATTTGGGAAGAAGTATGAGGGATGGGCATAGTCACATAAGGGAATTTATTGAGAGCTGCACTGGAGGGGGAATACTCGGTTTAGATTGGGCTAATGCGTATGATTGTGTGAACAGGGATTTCTTAAGAGTTTGGAGAAGTTGGGTATGGGGGGAGGGTGGTGAGGTGGGTGCAAACCTTGTATGAGGGAGCGGTTGTTCCGGTACAGGTTAATGGTAAGTTGGGGACCCGGTACTGAGGAGAGAGGTTGAGGCAGGGTTGTCCACTCTCTCAGTTACTATTTGCCTGCGTGCAGAATCTGTTTTATAGGCTAGTGGATGAGGTGATGCATGGACAGGGGACGATGGGGGGTGGAAGGGGGGGTATTGTTGGGTACGTGGATGATACTACAGTTTTTGTAATGCATGAGGAAGATCTAAGGAAGGTTTGGTCGGGTCATTCAGATATTTGGGGATGCTATGGATAATAGAGTTATTTAATGAAGTCGAGACTATTGAGGTGGGGATTTGGATTGGTGGGAGCTTGGGGGAGGGGTTGTGAGGGTCAGTAGTGGACAGAATTAGGGTTTGTGGATATGGTACATGGCGGAGGTGCAAGAATTGAGAAAATAAATTCGGAATTTGTTACAGGCAGGGTTTTGGGTAGGCTTGGAGGCTTAAGGGCTAGGGACGTAACATTACAACGGAGAGTTTTGGTGGATAACTCTCTGGTTTACAGTAAGGTGTGGGGGGTGGCGGGGGTGTTCCCTTTAAGAGTACAGGATATTGCGGAAATCCAGAGGAGGGTTCTAAGGTATGTGTGGGGGTTTGGGAGGGCATGGTTGCGCAAGGACGTGGTAATGATGGATGTGAGACGTGGGGGTCTTGGCCTGGTGGCACTGGGTCATAGAGTAATGGCTTTATATATTAAACAAAGTTATTGAGGAAAATACTGCATATATTTTCCGGAAATACGGTAATTTATAGGTAAATAGATGCCCTATATTGTATTTTTAAAAGAAGTATGTTATCGAAAAAAAGAAGAGACACTCGCCATCTTGGTTTTTGAATTTTGTACAAACGTTGATGTAATGGGAAGAATTTTTCGTGCTCTAGAGGTTAAAATTGTGTTGACACCTCTCAGATAGGAGGCGAAATTGGTGGATGTGCATTCCTGCATAACTTGAGATATCAGACGACTGGACAAGACAGCTCCAGGAACCTCAGATAAGCTCTCTAAGTTTGTGTGTAATTCTGGCCAGCATTATTTTCATAGATTTAGTTAGAGTGAGGTTTTCTGAGTATGATACACATTAATCTCCAGTCAAATTGGTGAGTGATATTAAGATATATTTTCCTTCTGTTATGTAATTGTGTATATATATAACCATTTATTATTTTTAATATACAGTCCACAAATTTATATATTTACCAACATTCCTGGTGTATGTATATTTCATTTAATAATAGGTCCAGAGCAACTTGTGGATATGACAGTGGTAGGTATCGAAGGGGGACATTTTTTTGTGACCCAGGTGTCCCGAATTCCTACTTGTCGATGTAACTCTGATAAATAATAATTATCTTTGTTATCATTTACTGTTATGTATATAATGATACATTCAGCTAAATGCAATTTTCCACATTTAATTTGCCCGTTGGTCCTTCTTGAACCGGAGGTAATTAGTGAAGTCATTAATTAGTTAATTACTAATAATTATATGTGAAATGACAGAAGGAGGTGGATGTTAAGTTCACAAATTTATTTAATGTGTAGTGGATTATAATAATTACAATATTAATTTTGATAAGATAAGTCAAGTGTGGCTAAAGATTATATTAATGTGTATAAGTGTATGTGTAATTGATAAGCCAAGTATAGCTAATTATATTAATGTGTAAATTAATTTTGCAAAGCCAAAGTGGCTAGGATTTATATTAATGTGCTTGTATAATGTTAATTTTGATAAGCCAATTCTCGCCAAGATTTATATCAATGTATGTTTAATTGATAAGCCAAGTGTAACTAATTATATTAATGTGTATATTAATATTGCTATGACAAATTCTGGCAAGGATTTATTAATTTGTGTAATATTAATTTTGATGAGCCAAGTTTGTATTAATGTACATTTAAAATTTATATTATACATGTAATTGCTAAGCTCGAGTAGCTAGGATTCATTCAAAAGTAAATTGTATCAGAGTTGTAAGTTGTAATCAGTGTTATTAATTGAGTTGAATTTAATACATTGCATCATGGCTGAAAATAAGGAAATTGATGTAGAAGACAAACATATGGAATATAGAGCAAAGAAAGCATCACTGCAAGCTAGAAAAAGGCATGAAACAAAAGCATACAATAAATGTTTGGAATTAATGAATCAAGAAACTGTGAATACTGATGATTTAAAATTGTATTTAGATGCTTTAGGGAATAGATATGATTCATACAAATTATATTACAACAAATGTGAAGGAGATTTGTTAGTAAACTGTGTAATGGACGAAGTAGATTTTTTGATTAATCAGTATTAAAATTAGAAGAAAAGATTCTTTTTGTAAAATCGGGCCTTGAATAATTAAAATGTGTAACCAGGCAGTGAATCAGTCTACCCCAAAAATAATATGTCTTTGCCAAAAACTCCCAGAATTATGTTTACCTGTATTTAACCCCTGGGGAAAATTTGGGGGAATTTTGGTAAATTTTTAAAGCAGCTGTGATGCAGGTTTTCCTACCCTGTGTAACAAAATTTTTTTTACCCAAAGGAAGGTAAGAGGGATGGTTACATATCATACAAGCCTTTCCAATGTAGATGACCCCTAAAAGGGAAGCGTTGACTTGTTGAAGGTCATTTGGAAATATAAAACAAATAGGTTGGATTATGAATATCGTTTTTAAATTTAAAATCTCCAAATCAACTTACAAAGGTTTACGCATTTTAGAGTTAAACTGGAGAGCACTCTCAAACTTTAAGTAATAAATATAATCTAAGGGAAATCGACTGTTTTGGTCCATGGTACAAAAAAAATTTAAGCTTAAAACATTAAATGGTCTCAAAAAATATCAAAAGGATTATTTTGGTCTAGGGGAAATAAGACTATTTACAAAAATTAATTGTGCATTGGGGACCACCAACTAATCATTTTAAAGATGTAACACATAATAACTCTGAAGTATCGCAGTTTCAAAAAGGAAAAAATTACCCAATTGTAAAATCAAATTCTTTCCAAAAATAGTTGAAATAGGTACTATCAAGTAGCAACAATAAAAAATAATGATTCTCCACAAGGAAGAAAATAAGTCCCCTCCTAAGGAGCACATTTTAAAAAACCATCGAGAAAAGAGAATTGTCTCTTCTGAAAGGGGTACTCATTTTTCTAAGAATTGCAATGCAAAAAATTCAGGGAATGAAAAAGTTGAAAGATTGGGGGAATTTGACAGATGTATCAGGTTTTTTAGGTAATTCAAATGTAAAGGATTGCATCCCAAATTAAACAACTGTTATCATGTCACAAAGGGGACACCATATATATGTGTAAAGGCTATATGGTTGATAATAAAGATGATGTTGCAAATTTACACAACGTGGCTAAAATAAAAATTGCTGCTAAGTTAATAATGATGGTTTGCTGAAGTAGCCTTACCTGTGTTAAGGTAAAAAATTGATGATAAAAGGCATAAAACAAAAAAAGGTAACTGCATTTTTGGACAGGGATCCCAGCGTACTTTCATAAAACGTAAATGTTTTTGATGGTATGAAAGTACAGTGGGAGTCCCAAACTTTTTAAAAGATTGGTTTTCTCCGGATAAAAAAGCTCAATTGTTGACACTGTTTAGTAACTTCGGTTTGGGGAATGAAAAAAAATGTGTTAATGGTAATTTTAGATAGACTTCCCGAGAAAATTCTACAGTAGGGGGGTTAGTAAAGCTACAGAAAGACTTTTACATAATGTAAATTGGCACCTTTTGGTGTAAGTGATGTTCTGTAGGCCCCAAAAAAATATTTTGATAGGTAGTGACTATTATGCCCCTTTGAAAGGGTATGGTAAAGAAAAAAGTGGGTCTCCCTTTTGAAGACTGCAGGAGGCCCTGTAATTATGGTAG